ATGCCAAAAGGTGCCATTGTTCATTAAGTCCAAACAATGGTGGTCAAATTCTAACAACTGATCAACAATGTGAACTTTTTTTGCAGTTTTTGGCTGGGACTGGGTTTGAAACCACCACCTCCAGCATATGGGGCCAACATCCTACTCCTTGAGCCACAGGTGCCACCCAACAATGCGAACTTTGATAAGCAGTTCTCCATAATCAGTTCTCAACAATTATTTGTCATTATTAAAGTTTAACATTATAAAATTAACAAAAATAATATAAAACTCATATCCTGGTGAAATAGCCACATGGCAGCCAAAAAACATATATTTTCTTCCCATTCTCCCACTGTTCCCTAGCTTGTCGTGCATTCTTTCCAAAAATCAGGACTTTTTAAAAATGCCACAGGACACGGGGTAAATTGTTAAAAATCGGGACTGTCCCACAAAAAGCAGTATGTCTGGTCACCTTACCAGTGGGAGAAACTATGGAGCTGCCACCACTATCAGGGGCAGCGCTGCCAGGGGTGGTGCCAACAGTCTGAGGTATTCTGTGTGTAGGTCACCTGAGCCAGAGGGGAGCCTTAGGGCATTGCCACTGGCTGCAAGGGTCACAGGAGCCAGGCAGGGAAGCAGAGGGCGAAGCCACTGATCCCTGGTCTCATGCTGCAGGAGCCTGGTGGGGAGCTGAGAGATGGAGTTGCTGGCCCCCCCAACCTGGGTCACTGGAGCCAGGCAGGAGTCCCTGGGCATGGGCCTGGGTTGCAGGAGCCAGACAGGGAGCTGAAGGGAGGAGTTGCTGGCCATGGGCTGTAGGGGGTTGCAGGGGCTAGGCAGGAGTTGCTTCCAGAGGCTGCTGGTCCCAGGAGCCAGAGGGCGGAGTCTCTGGCCAGCGGCCCCATGGGTCACAGGAGCCAGGTGGGAGTTACCAGTCACTGGCTGCAGGTGGCAAAGGCTGGGAGGAAGTCACCGGCCATGGGCTGCAGAGGTCATAGGAGCAAGGCAGGAGTCACTGCTGAGGCCACAGGTCACCGCAAGGGAGCAGAGTCACCCACCTGCAGGCTGCAGAGCAGGGGAGCTGGTGGGCTATTGTCCCCAGTGGTCAGTAGTGCAGGGCCTGAGGTATGCTCTTTTCAACATGGGGCAAGTCTTTCTCCCCTTGTGACTCCTTACCTCTATTAAAGTCATAGTTTCAGCACAACTATCCCAGAGCTCATGAGGTGGCCCGCCCTAGCAAAAATCTGCCAAATGCTCCTGATTTTGCAGGTGGTAGTCTTCCAGACCTCCAGGAGAGGGGGTAGGGGTGGATTGGGAGTTCAGGAAGATAGGGAGAATATTATATCAACTTTTGGCTCAGGCAAGAGACTCCCTGGGCTTGCAGGGTTATCCCTCCATGGAGGGAGTCCTGGCCCTCAGTTGTTCTCTCCCCTTTGGTGAAACAAAAGGTCCTCTGTTTTCTACTGCCTCAAGCTGCTCTGCGGGGGTGGGGGGTAGGAAGGATTCCCATCCTCTTTGGGATGGGTTTTATACCTGAAATTTGTTTCCTTGGAGTCCCAGCTTGTCACAGCAAGGGTGATGTGAACCTATTGATCCTCTCTCTCAGGTTAGCTCCCAATCTTCCACTTCATTGGGTTATTTCTGGCCATTATTTCTCCCTCTGGATGGGAGCGTCTGCCAAAAGCTGGCTTCAGTCAGCCATCTTGCCTCCCTCCTGTTTTCATTTCTAAGGTAAAGTTCAAATTGTAGTTGAGCCTTCATCCAGGGGCTGTGCTGAACATCCCCACATTGTGCTCATTAGGTGGGATCCCACCAATCATCCTCCCTATTCCCTCTTCCCCTCTTGCTTCCTCTGCCCTTCCCCTTGCAAGACTATACTTGTAGGTTTTTCTGTGTGTAGGCATGTAATTATTTATATATTGGTTTCATATTAGTATTGAGAACCTTGGGTACTTTTTTTTCCATTTTTGCAATACTTTACAAAGAAGAATGTGTTTCAACTCCATCCAGATAAACACAAAAGTTGTAAAGTCTCCATCTTTCCCTTGTGGCTTAATAGCAGTGCTCCATGGTATACATACACCACAGTTTGTTAATCTACTCATGGGCTGATGAGCACTTGGGTTGATTCCACATCTTGGCAATTGTGAATTGAGCTGCAATAAACATTCTGGTGCAAATCCTTGTGGTAAAATGATTTTTGTTCTTCTTGGTAGATACCTAGTAATGGGATTGTGGGATCAAATGGAGGGTCAGCTTTTAATTCTTTGAGAATTCTCCATACTTCTTTACATAGAGATTGCACTAGTTTGCAATCCCACCAGCAGTGCAAAAGCATTCCCTTCTCTGCGCATCCATGCCAACATCTGCAGATTTGAGACTTTGTGATATGGACTAATTCCACTGGAGTTAGACGATATCTCAGAGTGATTTTGGTTTTCATTTCTCTGTTGATTCCGGATGATGAGCATTTTTTTCATGTTTGTTGGCCATTTGTCTGTCATCTTCAGAGAAATTTCTGTTCAAGTCTCTTGCTCACTTATAAGTAGGGTTGTTTGTTCTTTTCTTATTGATTAATTTGAGCCCTCTGTAAATTATAGTTATCAGCCCAGATTCATAGCATGCAAATATCTCCTCTCATTCTGAAGGCTGTTTGCCTTTGTTGTAGTAACTTAGCTGTGCAGAAGCCTTTTTAGCTTGATCGTGTCCTATTTATTTATCTTTGGTATTGCTGCAATTGTCAAGAGGGGTTTGTGCATAAAGTCATTTCCCAGGCCACTTGTGTCAAGAATTTTCCCCACACTTTCTTCTAGAATTTTTGTTTTGTATCTTACGTTTAAATCCTTTATCCAGCAAGAGTAAAATTTTGTCAGTGGTGAGAGGTGCAAGTCAAATTTCAATCTTCTACATGTGGTAAACCAGTTCCTCTGGCACCATATCTTAAGTAGGGATTCTTTTCCCTAGGGCATGCTTTTGTTTAGCTTATCAAAGATCAGGTGGCCATATGTGGCTGGGTTCATTTCTAGGTTCTCTGTTCTTTTCAAGAGCTCTCTATCTCTATTTTTGCTAGCCCCTGAAATGTTAATTGCTGTCACCAACTTGACTCCAGCCTCCTACTTAGGATTTTTTTTGCTGTTCTTTGCATAAACATATGGGCTTCTGGGAGCAGGCCCTGCTCATCCTAGGGTCCCCCTTCCCTCATCCACAAGGTCTTGCCCAGAGCCTCTCCCCTTTTCTCAGTCACATTTCAGGAAACCTGGGAAGCCCTTGGAGTGAAGGAGGAGAGACACTGTGTCCACAGCATGTCATGAACTTCAATAAATACTTTCACTTCTATTTCCCCCATTGGGGCGGAGCCCTCTCTGGGTAAATTAAACTGTCAACAGACTTTCTGCTCAGAGCCTGGGCAGCCACCCTGGACCAAGCCCAGGCAGACTGGAGGGATCAGAACCCGGGCTCTGAGGATGGCAAGTGGTAACCGTGACCTGAGCACCAGGTGAGCCTTTATCTCCTTCCTCATGTCTGTCAATATTGCTGCCATCATGCCTCTAGTCCAGTTCATGTCTGAAGCATTACCTGAGTCTAGTTCTGCTTTGCAAGGACACAGGTATTAATACAATGAGAAGAAAGAGTAGGTAATGAGAAAATTGGATTTTTTTAAACTGCAGCAGGATGACTGTCGGTGTGAGTTCTGCTTTGCATAATATATGTGACTTCCTGATTTTGCAGCTGCTGCTCTGCTGGCCAGAGCTCTCTGAACACAGGAGTCCTTTCAGTAAGGCAGAGATTTCACTCTTCCCCATGAACTTGAAACCCTCTCATGTCCCTCTGTTTTCTTCAACTTTCACATAGGTCATGTCAAAAAATATAGTTTAGAACATAAATGCTCCATATAAACACCTGGGCTACTTTAAACATTGGATGTTGTAGTCTCACCAGTCCTGGCACCTAAGGTTCCTGTGACTCCTGGGCTATTCCCATAACCAGCTCATGGTCTGAGTTCTCCCTCCCTTGACTTTGATCAAAAGAAGGAAAAGGAAGAAAAAGCCTAGGATGGCAAAAGACCAGTGCAAGCTGAATAGGGTTTGTTTTTTGATTTTTTTTTTTTTTTGGCTTGAATTTCCTTTTCTAAGAGGGGGCATATCTCTAAAAAGATAAGAGATAGAAAACCTACCTTTGTCTAGGAATGGGTTCAGAAATAACACTGCTTAATTTCTTTAATTAAAAAAATTAACACAAAAGAAATACATTATACGTGCTTATTCATAAAGCTTCAAACAATATAGAAGTATAGAGAGGGAAAGATCCTCTTCACCACTCACCCCTGACCAGAAGCTTCCCTTTCTGGCTGGTGGAGAGTCTGAGTTTAGCCTTCCGCATCTTTGCCTATGCATTTACCTACATACAATGAGTCTTCATACATATAAACTTTCTGTTCCCATCTTGTGATAAATGGGATTATATTGCACATGCTGTTCTGCATTTTCACTTAATAGTGGAAATCTTAAATCTTAAAGATCTTTTCACCTTAATACATATAAACCTACCTCATTATTTTAATGGCTATATGCTATTCCATAGAATTGACATACCACAATTTTTTAACCTTATCCCAATTGGAAATCATTTAAATTGTTTCCCCTTGTTCCCTTTGTCCAACAAGCTGTAATAACAATGATTATATATTTCTTTGGGGTTTCTTTTTTTTTTTTTTGCATGTATACAGGTATTTAACTTGTGAAAAAAAACATAAAAAGTAGAATTATTTGAGCAGGAGGGCTAATATTTCCTTGTTTATAGATTCTGCCAAATTAAATGTCCAAGTGGCTGAGTCAGTGTATTTTCCTACCAATAGCAAATGAGACAGACAAGCCATCTCCCCACATACAGCCAAACTTTGCAAAGCTGATGAATATAGATTTTCATGCTATTTTACTTTGTATTTCCTGTTTTTGTGTAAAGTTACACAGTGTCTCGTGTTTATTGGCTCTTTCAAGTCCCTTTGAATAAATTACGTTTCACCAGTGTTAGTCAGTTAACGTGTTTGTTCTTTCTTTCATGACATAAGAAAGTTCAGAAAATAGTCCAGTAAATGTAAATATACTTTATTGTCTTTGAACTTTGTGTGTAGTAACTTTTGTCTTGTTATGGCATAAAATTTTGTATAGAGACCTATCATGGTATTGACTTCATAAGACAGATGTACCTTCATTGTAATAAACAAAGTTGCTGACAAATTCCTAGAGCACATCCAGTTTTAAGTTAGCTCATGTGGTCTTCAAGGTGACAAATTTGTTCTACTTTTATCTCACGAAAAGTTAATCCTCCGATATCTCTGAAAACTTCATTTTCCACTTTTAGGCCAAATTTTTCTCATATTGGTGCAACTTTAGCCTTCACAGCCTTTATCTGCTGCTTAGCACTTTCTTCTTTTCAGTTTACTTTGTGTTCAGAATGGTTGTCTTGAACTTTTCCTCCTTGACAGTTATTTAATTTTTAGTTAAGTTTTTATTTCTTGTTATTTCTGATTTTTAAAATATTGATCATGTTTCTATTTGAGATGGATCTTAGTTTGTTTCTGCATCTTTGCAATCTCTTATATAACCCATATTTTTCAACTTGTAATCTCATTTTCACATTCTTTCGCTTGTATTTAGGTTTTTGTGTGGTATTGAGCACAGTGGGGATGTTCTCCTTATCTTCTTCAGATTACATTCTATGTTCCTTTGTTTTTTCCTGTGCCTGCCCTTTACAGTACCTCGCACTCTGCTTCACCCCAAACCTCCCACTTACTCTACAGAATCTGAGTGAAAATGTTTCTTCATATTTCCTGCCTTACCTGAAACCAAACTGTTTCCCATGTAAGCTATCATTTAAAGTCTCTGTTTTGATTTTTAACAGTTTTTCTGAAGACACAACTTATTGGTTAAACCATCCTTTTCTCTGCTGATTTGCAGTGCTACCCTTTTCATTAACCAAATGGCCACATTCTTTCTATGTTTTCTTTTCTCTAACATTGGCCCATGTTTGGCTCTGCTGATGTCAGCACAGCACTGCCATATGGGAACAGCTTCCCAGTGACTCCTGATGCATGGGAGAGTAACTCTTCTCCTCTTCCTCCAAAGTATCTTGGATCTTTGTGTGCCCAAATCAGCTTGTCAACATTTTACTGGGATGTTTCATGGAGTGCATTGAGTCTATGGATCCATCTGAAGAGAACTGACATCTTTATAATGTTATGTCTTTCATCTCATGTATATGATATGTGTAAATTACTAATTTTAAAACTTTTCTTTATAAAATTTCTATTTTTCTGTCTGAAGGTTTTGTACTTCTAGACATCTTCATAGATATTTGGTATCTTTATACTATTATAAACTACAGTATTTTCCCATATGCACAATTTGTTTTCTATGGTTTCAGTTACCAGTGGTGAAGCAAGTTCTGAAAATATTCAATAAAAAATTCCACAAACAAATAATTTATAAGTTACAAATTGGCTGCCATTCTGAATAGTGTGATGAAATCTCACACAGCCCCTCTCAGTCCCTCCTGGGACATGATTCCTACCTTTGTCTAGCACCTCTATTCCATAGATGCCTCATGACCACTCATACTCACTTAGAAGCTGCCTTGGTTATCAGATCAACCCTTGTATCACAGTACCTTAGTCCAAAGAACCTTTATTTTACTTAGTAGTGGCCTTAATGTTGAAAGTGGTGATGCTGGAAACTCTGATAGGTTACAGAGAAGCTGTAAATGTCTTCCTTTAAATGAAAAGATGAAAGTTTTAGGCAATAAGGGAAAAAAAGAAAATTGTATGCTGAGGTTGCCTAAGACCAACAGAACAATAAGTTATTTTGAGAGAGTGAGAATGACACAGGAAGGAACTCCAACACTGGGAGGTACAGACAGTCCTAGTCGATTGGTCCTTGGCTTCACAAAAGGAAGAATTCAGGAGCTACTGAAAGTATAAAGTAAAAGCAAGATTTATTCAGAAACTGTAGAAAATCCACTCTGCAGACAAAGCAGAGGTTAATTCTCCCTCCAGAAGAGAACCAGCCACCTGTTTCCTGTTGCCTTTCTATTTATGCGGCAGCTGAATTATAGGCTAAGGGGGTGGGGTGGGGGGAATATTCATAGGGGTGGAGGTAGTTCACCACTTTGGTCCTAATTTGTTAGAACTTGCCCTCACTCCATCCTGTCTTGCTCAGAGTAATTTGGAACTTTTTTTGAGACTTCCTGACTCAAGTAGTGCTGCAGCAACACCAAAAGCAATGCCTGCCAGTTCCTGTTCAAGGCCACATTGACATCATAGGGACTCTTGCACTATATCCTCTCATATGTGGTTCTGTATAGGTGATCCCTGTTCTGATAAATGGTTCTATTTTTATTGGTTTCAATACTGAGATGTTTCAGTTGCTGGACATAGTTATATGTGATATATAACTATCAGACATAGTTACATATATAGTGATATATATTACTAGACATAGTTATGTATAATTTTTATATATAACCATTACACATAGTTTTATATATAATTATATATAAATTACATATAAGGAAATTTATATATATATAGCTATTAGACATAGTTATATGTTGCATATGTTAGCTATATATTTTGAACTATAAGGTGTCATGTAGGTGATTTGCAAATACTATATTTTCTCCCATTCTATAGGTTGTTTGTCATCTTGTTTATTATTCTTTGCTGTGCAGAAGATTTTTAGTTAGTTATAGTCCCATTTGTGTATTTTTGCTTTTGTTTCTTGTGCTTTTTTGTGTTGTATCCAAAAAATCACTGCCAAAACCAATGTCAAGAACATTTTCCCCTACATTTGTTTCTAAAAGTTTTATGTGCTTGGGTTTTATATGTATTTCTTCAACACACTTAAAGTTAAATTTTTTGACTGTTAAAAGAAAAGGGTCTAATTTTATTGTTATGTACATGGATATTCAGTTTTCCCACCATTTATTGAAGAGACTACCCTTTCCACATAGTGTGTTCTTGGCATCATTGTCAAATATTGGTATGTGTGTTGATTCATTTCTGGGCTCTCAGTTCTGTTCCATTGGTTTATGTGTCTCTTTTTATGGCAGCAACATATTGTTTGGGTTACTATAGCTTTATAATGTAGTTTAATATCTGAGATGCCTTTAGCTTTGTTATTCTTTCTAAAGATTGGTTTGGGCCAGGTGTGATGGTTCACACCTGTAATCCTAGCACTTTGGGAGGAAAGGGCAGGATGATTGCTTGAGCCCAGGAGTTCAAGACCAGCCTGAGCAACACAGTGAGACCTTGTCTATACAAAATATAGAAGAATTGTGTGGGCATAGTGGTGCTTGTAGTCCTGGCTCCTCAGGAGGCTGAGGTAGGAGGATGGCATAAGCCCGAGGATTGGAGGTGCCAGTGAACAACTATTATGATGCCACTGCACTCTAGCCCAGGCAACAGAGTGAGACCAAATCTCAAAAAAATTTAAATTTTAT